AAGCTTTGTGTAGCTTGAAACGGGTAGGTTTTCTCGGAGTTTGTTTCCGAATCCAATCTTGCAGAAAGGTTGAAGTGGTCAAATTGACAAGGCAACAAACTGGTTGGTGTCTAGAACGAAACAGCAAGATGAAGGGTAGCATGACCTTCAGGCCGAGATGGCCTTAAATTTCAAAGATGTGGCTAAAAATATTGAACGGTCTGTAGTCGATTAAATAGACATAGGCTTTATCAAACTTCCAAGCTTTTAGGGATGAAATTAGTAAATCAACGTTTTGAAGAGATATGTATCTGTTTATTTGGAGTAGAATCTTGGTTATTAGTAAGCGTAACTGGAGATTTTGTTCTGCATTATTTCGGAAGCATTATTTTCATTAGGTGGAGCTTACCTACTCACTTACTCCTGTCGCCCCCCGTGAAGGAGCATAGGCCGCTCACCGGCATTCTCCATCCAACCCTGTCCTTGTCAATCCTTTCCAGCTTCTTCCATTTCCTATTGATCCTTTTCATATCTGCTTCTATTATCCGATGTAATGTGTTCTTTGGCCTTCCTCTTTTCCGCTTCCCTTCAGGATGCCAAGTTAGGGCTTGCCTCGTGATGCACTTTGACGATTTGCGTAATGTATGTCCTTTCCATTTCCATCGTCTTTTCCTAATTTCTTCAGCTGAAGTTGGTTTGTTCTCTCCCACAGAAGGCTATTGCTGATGGTATCCGGCCAATGGATGTTGAGTATCTTGCTTAAACAACCATTTATAAATACTTGTACCTTCTTGATGGTGGTGGTTGTAGTTCTCCAACTTTCAGCTCCATACAGTAGAACTGTCTTGACGTTCGTTTTGAAGATTCTCACTTTGACATTGGTTGAAAGTTGTTTTGAGTTCCATATGTTCTTCAACTGTAGGAATGCTGTGTATGCTTTGCCAATCCTCGCCTTTACATCTGCACCTGGACCCTCTTGTTCATCGATGATGCTTCCCAGGTATGTGAAGGACTCTACATCTTCCAGAGTTTCGCCATCAAGAGTGACTGGATTGCTGTTCTCTGTTTTGAATTTGAGGACCTTGGTTTTCCCCTTGTGTATGTTGAGGCCTACTGATGCAGAGACTTCTGCCACACTGGCTGTTATTATCTGCATTTGTTCGTGTGTATGCGATAGGAGGGCTAGGTCACCTGCAAAGTCCAAATCGCCTAATTGGTTCTGAGCTGTCCACTTTATGCTATGTTTTCCCTCAGATGTCGAGGTCTTCATAATCCAGTCGACCACCAGAAGAAAGAGGAAGAGAGAACGTAGACAGCCTTGTCATACTCCAGTCCTTACTTGGACCTCATCCCGTAGAAAACCAACTCGCTAAAAAAATGCTAACAAGAAAAAATAGTTTAAACCATTAGGTGGAGCGACGAAGGAATAAAACTAGGAGTAGCGAATCACAACACTATAAGATTTGAAAAATTTATAAAGTCTTTTTCAGAAAAAATAATCCAACTATATCAGTTTCACTCCAAACGAATTCTAAGGATCGGACACTATTTGAGCGCTTTTCAGTGCTCTCTCCTAAAATTATTTACTATTAGGTCATAACGCCTAGAAGGTGAAATGCGAAGGATTATTATGCATTTGACGAATCACATATACACTCGTTTTCATGCTTTCCTACTGTATATCATACGAAACTCTTGATACCAGGCCAGTTTATTCTCATATGACAACTGCCTACAGTTTACGATTGCCGAATTTCATGGTCAAACAGAAAATACGAATACCAGTTTGTCACATAGTGTTGATGTGATGTGTAGCATTCTTGGTTGTGCACAGCACTCTCAGTCGTCTTATGTAAATTTCAACTTACATGCCTAGTATCAGTTGGAAGTATGAATCGACAATACGCTAAATTCCAGCCGAGCGTAACCTACAACCAGAGAGAAACTACGTAAACAAATAATTAGAAGTTTCTTCCATAATAACTTCCATCTGCTTGAGTCAACGACCAGTAAATGATAGGGCGTAAGCCTATAGATTTATGGTCTTTTCAAACACAAGCACATCAATCTTTTTAATATAATAATAGACAAAATCCAAAAAATGTAGATTTGTCATGATGTGACCATTTAATCTATGAGATCTTACGTCAAACCATAGCCCACACTAACTCATCCTACGTGTCAACCAGCGATATGACGACCGGTACTTCTGAAGAAAACATTTTTACTGTTAAGAGAGTAATATTCTAGATATAAAAACAAGATGGTAAATTGTTCATAGTTTTCTCTCTATGTCAGTGATATTTTTCCTTCAATATGAAGTTATTGAAAATAGAAACACATTTGCCTCATAGTAGAATAAAATTCATGTTTAAAATTGATTCTAAATTAGTCATATAATATATAATCATAATATTTGGAAGACACTTTTGATCAAATATCTGCTACTTGTGTCTTTTTTATTCAGAGACCGTGTTATAAGCCATAAAGCAGTACAAAGCATACTCCTGTCCATTATACACTCCCTTCGGCCTGCAGTATGACATCTTTCATACCACACAAGTAACACAGGTTAACAAAAGACAACAACGCTTTTAGAAATGGTCCCGAGACATTGTCATAAACTAATCCACCAGGACTGATGATGAGACAGTTGAAGCTAGACCACTATAGAAAACCTGGAAGCACTGAACGGCCGTTTCGTTCTGTTGTAAGACTCAGCAGTGCGCATCCACAGCCCCGCCTCGCGAGATTTGAACCCAAGGCCCAATGATCTCTCTCGAGGGCAATTAATTACTGGACCATTGAGCCGGCATCCAACGGTGTTAATGTCTAACTTCAACTTATCCACGAAATTGAGCGACATATACACCATTGTCATTAGTGAGTTACTATCTCACAACAGACTTGGTTGAACTCCACTGGTTACTGCTTCCCACTAGAACTCCAGGATATACATCTTGATTAAGCCAGTCACTAGTGAGCATATGTCGATTAGTATCAGAAGGGGTTTTGTGGAGATTTTATTAATTTCAATAGTTGAGATCATGAGTCAATTGAAGCTAGACCACCATGGAAAACCTGGAAGCACTGAACGGCTGTTTCGTCCCATTGTGGGACTCATCAGCAGTGCGCATCCACGACCTAGACTCGAGGGATTCCAAGTAGACGATCGACGTACTCAGTAACTTTAGAGGTTGACGTAGACCAGTCATAAGGTATTATTTTGAACTTAGAGAAATAGGAATGCATCCGAAAAATGTTTACGTTTTCATTCAAGGCGATCAGTAGAATCTGCAGTTTAGTATCTTCACGAAACAAAACCGTCATCTGCATGTTCTAAACCGATAAATGATCTTGGTAAGGAATCAACTCCTGAACAGTTATTTCTAAGAGAATATCTACAACCAATTCAAGTAAACAGTTACATTATTCAACCCTGATGAACACTTGATGTTAACGATTTCGATGACAATTCTCCATACACTTCTGATTCAATCAGTAGTATTTAGTTAGAGAGTCTGTACAAGGTTAGTAATTCTTAAATATCGTAGGGGCTAATTTATCATGACCTACTCCCTCTCGCTGTAGATTAGTTGTGGCCTTCTCGATTTTATTAAGAGTCGCGGGCTTTCGACAATGTCCCATTCAAGTTATTCGGTAACATTAAGCAACTAGAAGGTATCTAGAGCCAACTTGAGCCGTTTTTTAAGGTATTCTGCGAATCATCCCGATTTTCTGGTCTGAAAATGTATCAATGTCCCATATTTTTCATAAATATCATTAACAACTACCTTTTTAATAACTATCTCCTTGATGAATTGAAATAGTTGTTCGCCTTTTCAGTCTCTTTTGCTTTCGCTGCTCACTGCTACTCACAAGAATTCCGTAGACTTTTGCCAGTCTATGTTTGAGTTGTCTTTGCTCACCATTGTATTTTGAGCTTGATGGAATTAATTTCTGAACATCTATCGACTTAGTGAACATTATAGAAATCCAATGATGTTTCATAACCTTTTGGTCCAAGCCGTTGGTGGATGTCACTGCTGATTCCATAGCTTTTTGGATATTATATCAACCTACGTTGGGGCGAACATTACTTTGTCCATTGACCAACTGGTTTAATAGTTGGTACTGAGATAAACCACCACTGAATTAACCACTTCTATGGATCCAGTGTTCATCTTGTTATGCTAATGAGGTATGGCAACTTGGACCGATGCACATATGTGCCTGGTCTTACGTTGTAGCTGACTGACTGACTGGAATATACTCTTGACAGTTTCGCCGTTTAGCTGAAATCTTAGGGATCTTGATTCTGTGACGCTTCAATACCCTATAAGACAGGCAAATGAGTTGCCGTTTCCTGGTTACTAACATTGTTGAGAAATATTTGTTCTTGAGGCACTTGCAAAGAAAACTTGTTTAAAATTGGTTTTTACAATCTGGAAACATGGCTCCAGCATCCAATGGATAATTGTGTGAGATCAATCACGCATGATTTCCTTTAGTAGTCCTAGTTAGCTCTGTGCTTAAAAAGCTTTATAGCTTGCGACGTAAATTCATGGGACAAGACGATGTGGGTGGCTCTCAAGGTCGAACTTTTGCAACCCGCTCCTCGTCTCGGAAAGGCAGCGTCGCTACAGAATCTGGTTGCCTGAAGAAAAAATATTTTTGCCGTCACACTCCTAGGCAGTCGGCATTACGACTAAGTCCTCGGACAGAGTCCACCACTTTTCATACTAGCGCACTCAAACCGACCTACTTGGCATAATAGATGGTAAAAGAACAAATCCTCCCGCCGATTTAGTTCGATTGGGTCACTGCAATACATCAGCTCTACAATTGCATCAAGACAACAACTGTGGTTATAAGACTATGAACTACCTAAATATTGTAGTGATTAATTTTTTCAGATACCCTGACGGACATATTAATATTTATATTTAATTTTCTACAGGTATCTATGATTCAGTTAATTCTTCCATATCCGAAAACCGTTCCCAGTACTTTGCTGTCGTGGCTATTGCAGGGAAACAGTTCAAAGTAACTAATAACGATTTAATTATGATCAAAACACCGTTCTATGGAACTGACGTTGGTGATCGTGTTCAATTACAGAAGGTCCTACTTTTAGGATCATTAGACTTTACTATTATCGGTCGACCAATTTTACCAGTGCATCAGGTGTATGTTGAGGCTGTAGTGATTGAAAAGACTCTTGAACACCCTAAAGTTTGGTACCAGTTCCATCGTCGTCGTAGACACCACAAACTGCGAGGTAAATTAGTACTTATTTTTTTCACATTCTTTTCAGTATTCCAGGGGAATGTTACTGTCCTTCAGATTATTGATGTTCGTCCCAATACATTAGCAACTCATTAAATTAATCCTTGAATATACGCTTACTCGTTAAAAAACATTTAGGCTTTTGTATACTTTTAAAAATCCGTTTTCTGCGATTTTTGTTCATTTGAAGTATTTGATAGTGTAAACTACTGCGGTACTCAAAAAAGTATATATTCTCCGAATCATGTCAAAGTTTGTTTCTTTCCCTCTCTCTCTGTCGATGAAAATGTATTTCCATCATAACAGACTCGAAGGAAAATAGTCTCAAACTTTGATTTCATAATATGGTAAAATGTCTAGCTTAAAACATCAAGAAAAGGCAGAGAGCATGTACTTTATACTTTTCATGGTATTGTAAAGTTTATTACTGTAACGTTAGTCTTGGTACTCTAGGATTTTGACAGCCTTCATCTCAGGTTGAAATGACAACATGTTTCTGATTTTCCCTCCTTTCAAATGAAAGATAATATCCTATGCTTTTAGAAGTGAGTTTCGAGGGTGGTTACTTGACCTTGGTTACTCATCATTCTGCGTATTTCAAGCGACTATTTCAAAGTCAGTCATATATGAAACTGTTTTTATCGGTTTTAATCTCTTCAAAAGCTCCTAACCCAAACTTAGTGAATATTAAGAATCAAATAATCATAAAAGAAAGCATCACCCTTAAAATCTAACAGTTTATAACAGGTTTTATTGGCTTATAATTTATTTACTGGACAACAGAAGGTAATTAAAAATAAAAGTAAAGTTTACCAAGTATTCACTCATTGTTTGGTCAAATTCTTAATTGCCATATAAATTCATTGGAACATTTGTTGACCCCAAATATTGTGACTTTTTGGAAATACTCGTTTTACTGTATTATATTTAAACATCTATTTGATGCGTGAAAATGCTAAACATTTCTTAATAAATCCAGTAGTATATCATTTATAAAATCCAAAGAAGGGATATCCAATCATGGTTCTTCTATTTGTTAATCGCTTACATGACATTATTATCTCCTCCATCTTGTGACTTCAAGTGTCATCAATTCTCTCGCCTATTATTCGCCTTTTAACTAATACTTTTATTCGAAAACTACCAAAAGTCAACAGAATGAGCTTCCGTTTAGACTGGTTGATAAATATATAAGGATTGATAGTAACTGCCACCTTAATTCCTAATTTTGAATAACAGAACGTTTCAAGTAAAGTTTGCTAAATATTGAACGTATAGTTTCTGAACTTGGTCGGGTAGAAAAAATGTCTGTCGCAACAACAAGATGTTTTTGTCTATATCACTTTGATGGAGACGTGAACCATTAGAGCGTGACTCTGATCTCAAAACATCGTGCCATCTAAGAGATTTGAAGGTCCTGAGTTTAGTTGAACGTGAGTTTACGAATGCACTATATTTAAGCATTCTAAACTGAAACTCGACCTCCGTTCAGCGCTAACTAGTTCTTGAATTCTTTCCAGCTGATTTCAGCCTGCCATTGAAACTATCTTCATAAATAGCCGGAAGTTGGTTTCAATGTCACAAGTTCATTCACTATTTGTTTTCCTCCAAATATCTAATATACATTCTAGTTGTCTTTTTTCCCTTCTAAATCCACAGTATTGTTTTCTTAACGTATCGGCATATGTATTAGTTTCCGATTTGTATTGCAAAGTGTGACAACTTTAACCAACTCGTCTTTGTGGAATGTTATACATTTTTAAGTCAGTGATTTGGACGAATTAAAGAAACAGGTGATTATTTACATGGAATTAATCTTTTGTTAAGTAATAAAATCTATTACGTGATAAACATGATGGTGTATATAAACTTATTTGACGGGTTTACTTGTCTACCAATGTAGTCAAAAATCGTTTCTGAAAAAAATAAATCAGTTAAATATTAAGATTTCAGTATTTGCGAGGAGTACTTATTTTCTACTTCCAAATAAATCTAAGGGAAGTTAATGCCTTTTTGCCCATGGAGATTGACGAAAAGAGAGTTCTGTTTCTAGTAAAACACGATTTTATTGTTTATTCTTCTGTAATTGCACACAACTGATAATGTGAAATAAAGCAATATATTTTATTATCAAGTTTGCCGCAAAAAGTATCTTCATTACCTTCATTGTTTATCGATGTATTAGCGAGAGTGCTTGTAATAAAAGAATACTATGACAGTCTCCTGGCGGCAATAATAAAGTTTAATTTTTAGGATGATGTCTTCTATTCATATAAACTCGTTAACGGAATAAATTGCAGTCAAAAATAATAATAATAATAATAATAATAATAATAATAATATTAATTGTAAAGCAAAACATTGACAGGCCAGATAAAACATAAACGTTTTATTATTATACGTGGTAATTTGATTTTGCGCCTGATATAAAAGCTCATATGCAATCAGCCACTTGCTTAGAAAATATGAGAGTAAGGGTGGAGCTTTTTGCAGGATAAATGTGCACTCGTTTATATATACCTTTCTTAAAAAAATAAATACGAACTTTCAACTAATGGCATATGTTTTGTTCCTCAGATACGGCAGCCGGCGCCTGACCAGCAGCTTGCTGTTATCATTTGGCCTGTCTAATTGGGCAAGCGCATCACATATTGAATCACAAATATCTTCAGTAAAAGTTTTTATTCCAAGTGGCTTATGTTAGAAAACGTAATATAGCTAAATAAAAATAAATAACGAAATTAGCTCTTCACATTAACATATTCTGATTGGTTTCGTTCCTATTTCCAATGCTGTGTAAATCTTTATGCCAGGAGATTTACTCTCAATCTTGATAAAAGTAAATGTTCATGTTAAGTGTTTTTTATATGTCCGACAAAACTCTCTAATGTCAGGTGTATTCTGTGCAATATTTAGAGATTTCAATGTCATAATTTTTGCAATCTTCAATTTATCACGGATATAGTGGAAATATAAAAAATTATGCCTGTTCAACCATTTAGTCTATGTTTGATGATGAATTATCACTCTACCGTAAGCTAAGTATAAATGTAGATGGCGTTCATCAACCACGACAGCTCATTTATTTTAGTTAACTCTTCTGTTGATGTTAACGATTCAAAAAACGTCTATTTGACATTCTCTTGTCAGTTAGCCATTATCAATAGCATGCGGAATATCATATATTTGTGTGTTGCTAGCATTCTCTTCAGCATAAAAAATATAGGTTATAAATCACGTGTAACAACACAGTCTGGCAGACTATATATTTATGCGACATCCAATTCTTAATGCTCTCTATCAATTGGACTAATTCTTAAGTCATGGAGGTTTAAGTATTGCACATTCTAAAGTCAAAAAATAGGGGGAAAATATAGCTTTTATCTAGTAACAATGTCAGTCAAACCAGCATTCCAAGTTTTAATTGGTGACTATTATCAATAATAACATATATATTTCATCAGTGACAGAGGTTCAGGAAAAAAGCTAAAATCCAAACATCATAGATGTGAGCATTAATCAACTGACTAATAGAATAATGAGTTAAAATAAGTAAAGATCAATCATTAAAGTCACAATGACAAGAGGATGCGTCTCTTCAGTCGGTCTTACCAATGTAAAATCACTATCTAAGTCGGTATTAAGTACATTTATTTATCCTACTAGAATAACAGACGCAACCTAATATGGTGGAATCGCTATGATATGACTACCTAATCCATACGATCTTATGTAGAAGTCATTTTATTATTTTCATGCTGACTTGTCTTATGATGACAGTCGGTAGCATACTTTTTATGAACTTATGAAGAACACTTTTCGGCTGGGGATATGATTATATATTTGATATGTAAAGGAAGAGGTGATACATAGTGACTACGCCTGCACAGCCGAGTCATGCTGTCTCGATTGAGTGTTTTGCGCTCACCTCCTATGACCCTCTCCAGATGTTCAACAGATAATGTAAATCTTCCTAACTACTATTTGTCCGGCTTCAATGATTGTGTGGTTCCGCATCAGTCCCACTATACAATTTCTGTAATTACTCGTATATCCGTTACATCTCACTGTACAAAGTCAAATCTTTTCGGTCATTTTTCGAATTTGCCGATATATTTTTTACTTCAAGTTATCATTTGTTTCCACTACGTGCATATGACTGGTAAGTTGGAGAATATGGTATTCTTGCAGTGTTTGGAAAAAAACAAGATAACAAAAACTATTTCAGCTCGAGAATAATATTCATGATAAGGTATCGATTTTATTGTATAATAGAGGGAAAAAAAATTTCCTGACTTATAAAATGTTCAGTTATTTGTCGATCTCCATTGGTTAAGGTTATCGACTTCAAATTCTTAGTTATTCTTTATCTACAAAGCTTGAGGAAAAAACTGCAGAGTTGGTGAGCCATTTAATTGGAAATCAGTTTGTACACTTACTATTTGTATTGAATAAACATTTGGTCCTTACAATAAATTATAGTGTAGTTTGGTTTTCATCAGTTCGGGCTACAAATCTGATCCACTTCTGACTGGTTTGAAATTTAATTTGATGACTTAACGTTGTGCCCCGTTCTCAAACGCACAGTTAGATAAAAATTAATACGATGGAGGAAATGGAATAGCTCTAGTTGGTAAGAATTTAATCATTACACTTAGCGACCAGGTTGAAAGCAAATTCTAAGTACGTGTCATTTCTTGGCTTAAATCGTACCAAAACTTGGATTAAGAAATCAAATGTCTTAGTACAATTCAGGAATTTGAAAACGAAGAGTATTAAAAATATATTAAATCAGAATGTAAACTAAATTATGAAGAACGTTCAGAAGGCCTGACCATATTTGCTTTTACAGAACGTCTTATATGTACTATAACAAACAAGATATGTAATGTCAGATTCCCACTAATGTTGTTTTATCATAATACTGTGACTTATGCTAACCACAAGTTGTTTCAGTACAACACCCTATTAACTATATTAAATATGAGTTCCGGCTGTTGTATGAATGTATATTTATTCAAATTTAGATGCCTTGAATTTTTTAAATAGTAATTTACAACCGAACTAGAGAAAAAAGGTGGAAGTTATTCTGTAAAATGGAATATTTCTTTGCGTTTATAAGAGAGCACATGATGATGGTTGTTAATTTCGTTCAATATCTTGTTGGTCTGTTTAACGACCAATGCATTTTTGTTTTTTTCAGGTGACGTCTGGTGTTTGCAAGTCATGTAAATATCTGAGTAGTAGACATATTTATGAGTACAGCTAACACAATATTTCTTCTTTCGTCGGGTAAAATAGGTGTTGGAAGTGAGCTTTTAACCAGTTTCCAAGGGCACATGAGTCAGTCAGTCAGCTACAACGTAGGACCAGGCACATGTTCATCGGCCCAAGTTGCAATACTTCATTAGCACGGCAAGATGAACAGCGGATTCATAGAAGTAATATATGAAAGAAAGATTGCATACAAGGATATAGTACAGGGAGAAAAACTAGTTCGTAGAAAGACAGATATGAAACGATTTTAATTTCATAGTTTAAGGGAAGATAGAGAATGCACATACCTACACCATTTTGATCGATTCTGAGACATGTCCCCCAGAGTCTCCAACCATTGGTTACGATAGTCACGCAGACCCCAGCCAAGTAGTCTACGTCTACCAACATGGCTCAGACCAGAAGTTAGTGACTTCAGGCACTGATGCCACGTTTTGGTTTGGCTGCCCCTTAATTTATCCCAACCGTCTCCAACACTAGTCAGCATTACTTATCGTGGTAATCGGTGTTCAGGCATACGTAACACGTGGCCTTCTCCTTCTTCATTTCTTGAATCTTATCCAGTATATCAACAGTGACCCATTCCTTGTGATGGTGCTTCTTGTGGCCCGAAACCTCATGAAATGTTGAAGTGATTGCCTCTTTGATCCCTTTCCAGCTGCTCCGCATGGTAGTTCCCTCTCCATTGAGTAGATCGTGAAACGCCTAGAACCTATTGCTGAGGTCTATCTTGAATTCGTTGAGTCTGTCAGTATCCTAAAGAAAGGTCGTATTAAACATTTGTGATGTCCACTGCGTTGTCTAGTACTTCATGAGTTTGAGCTTCATCTTGACGACCAGCAAGTTATGACCTGAGGCTACATCAGCTTCTATCTTGTGTCTCACGTCCTCCCTCGTCTTTCTGAATTTTCTTATTGATGCCGATATGGTTAATTTGATTCTGTGTAGTGTTACCCGTTGAAATCCATGTGATTTTGTGTATGCGATTATGTGGGAATATGGTGTCGCCCATGACTAGTTAGTTGAAGGCACATAGGTTTGCGAATCTCTCACCATTTTCGTTCTTTTCTCTCAGTCCATGTCGTCCCATGATATCTTCATATCACTTGCTGTAAAATAAACAAATCGTCTATTCTGCACAAAAATCATTTTTTAGTGAACAGAAATAGCTTAACCAATTATTTCATTCAGTTTATCTATTCACTATCTTTTAGATTGTTAGTTTAGATATTCCAATTCGCGTAATATGATTCCGACTACAGATAAAGATTCTTTTCTACACTAGCCAGTTTTAGATAATTTACTGTTTGATTATTTAATAAACACCAACCTACGTTTACATATTTTGAGTGTATCTTAATACGCTTTAAGTCAACTAAATCTTGTAATACTAAAGTCAAGATAAACCCATCAGCAGGATGTGAAGAAATCCAGGATAACAAAATGTTTGAAGCTTCGAAGCATCTTCCAAACATTTGGTCAAACAATGGGAACCCTTCACTAGAAGTTAGTGGATGCTATGTACCTCTTTTAAGTCATGCGTAAGATTTGTTTTGAGGAAATTATATAGTGATTACTGGTTTTGATCTGGTGCGATAATCTACCTAAAGAATTTTCAGATAACACCATTATCGGTAAAAAATCTTCGAAGATATATATCGTGTACAAGATTAATGAATCTTTATAACATACAATGATTACTAACTGTAAAAGCTTAAATTATGATATGTTCTGTAATCCATGATTCGAATTCTTCGGTGTATTAGTTATTCATGATTACTATTGTACGGAAACATCACATAAAATCCCGAAATTCTGAATGATATTATCATAGATCATATGTGTTAGAACCTGAAGTTACCAGACTGACGTTAAACTTATACCTAGGTCCTTTTGAGTGCATAAGTTCACTTTTAAACTTTTGTACCAATGGCTTCGATAAAACGCAATATATTTATAGTTATTCGCATACTGATCATTTTGAAAGATATTGAGTTCAATATCAAGCAGGTGATGAACAGTCACATTAGTTTCATTTGTTGTGAACAGGAATCCTTCTTTTTATTTTAAAGTAAATAATTCGGCACGTCCAAGTAAAATGGTAAACGCAAAGGGTGGTTGTGTGAGGTGGGGATTTGTCCACTTTTATCTATCTCAATGAACAGTTTTTGATACAGAACGACTAATTTAGGGTGTGGATACGTCATTTTCAACCTAAAACACTGTCTAGAAACAATTTTGTCAGCTGATCTTTTACTTTCGTGTTTGGGGTGTCATTTATATTGTGTCTTCAGCACCACTTTTATATACAGGAGGAATT